ATTAGCGTCCATTCATGGCTTCTTGTTTTCCTTCAGATGCTTTGGGGAATAAGTTGACACCCTCTTCTCTGTAACAGCCCCTCAAATATTGGAAGACTGAGCAGAGACATTATACAAATATATATAAAAAGTTACCTAAGGAAGATGATCCAAAAGAATCTCCATTGCCACTCAGAAATAATGGGTATAAGCTGCAGATACCTAGATTTATTTATATATAAGGGGAAAACGCACTGATGCAAAGATTTATACAAATGGAGCAATTGACCTCTTAAGGCAGACATGTCAAACACAAGGCCCGGGGGACAGATGCGGCCCGCGAAATGGTTTCATGTGGCCCGCGAAGCCATCCTGGAAACAGTGAGGGAACGGCCCCCTCTGCCTTGGCCCTGGCCCAGGTCAGGTGGGAGCCAATGTACAATTTTGTGGTGGCCATCTATGCTGAAACGCATTCAGTCTTAGCTCCATAACCCCCCCCCATCGCATGGCCTGAGAGGAACAGTGAGGCTCCTCCAGTGGACCATGCCTTGGCGCATGCCCCGGTCCCACCCCCTTCTGCCAGAGACCCTCAGATCTGTCCCACTCCTGCCCAGGCCCCCGCAGGCACCCTTGACACTAACGATGTAGAGCTGGCCACACCCACCTAGTAGGTCACACCCACTCCATCCACGCCCCCTGAGGGCAACCGCAATGCTGATGCGGCCCTCAATGAAATTGAGTTTGACATCCCTGTCTTAAGGTGAGTTCTCCATCTCTTTCTCCGAAGGCTTTTAGAAGAAGCTGGGCAGCCACTTCTTCATGCTGGTTTAACTGGTTTTCTTGCACACTGCAGAGGGTTGAATTAAATCAGCCTTGTGGTCCCTTCCAACTCCCCAGTTCAATGATTCTACACATTAATTTGAGAGGAGAGTTTTTCTCAGTTCAATACCAAGGACTGCTATTGTGACTTTCTGCTTCCAAAACTTCTGCTCTACTATTGTTCTGATGATCTTCCTGACAGACTTGTACTGAGATTTCAACGTTTCAAAGAACTAAGGATTTCATTCTCTTCCCATTTGGAAAATATCTTGCTTGTGAAACACTAGAATGTTTAGGAAAATTGATTTAGTTGATCTTCTGTTTGACAAGCTAGTTTACTGAAACTGCTTTCACGTCAGGTTCCAATCAAAGAGAAATATCTGGAGCTCAGGATTGAATTGTGAAGTGCTCTCTGAGCTTCTTGCAGACATTTCATTATCCGAGTAGGTAACACCATCAGTGCTAGAAGGGAGTGGGAATAGGAACTGCACTCCCACCTAGCACTGATGATGTTACCTAGTTGGGTAATGAAATGTCTTCAAGAAAACAACCAAGCTCAGAGAGAACCAAGGACCCCTCACTTCATCTTTCTCCAGCGATCCCTCCCTGTGCATTTGCCTTTCTCATGTTGAAGAAAAAGTCTTCATCAGGGTTCAGTCCAAGCCGGGAATAAACAACATGGTGACTGCTTTAGAAAGAAGGTTGCAGTTTATTGAAGAGGAGAGCCAGACAGAAAGATGGCTCTGGGAAAAAAAAGTGAGCACATGTAGGGAGTGGGTTTTTATACCCTCTGGAGCCTTTTGTTTGGAGTTGTTCCTGTGGCCTGAACTTTGACCTGAGTCTGAGTGTACCTTTCTGGTATTCTGATGGTGGTGGGTTAATCCTATTATGTCCCAAAGGTGGAACATAGCTTCCCTGTGGCTGTGGCTGATGACTCTTAGATTTTTGGTGTTGATTCTAGGGATCTTTCTTCCCAATCCCATGTTCCTGATTCCAGTCTTTCTGACAAGATTATCACATCTGCATTTTTGCAGACTTGGTTCTGTTTGGGACAGAGAGACTTGGAGGGCAGGGTTGGTTTCTGCTTTTAAAATCCTTTAGGGAAATATATTCTGCCCTTTTAATATTTCCTTCTCTGGGGGGCTGACTTCCCACACTCAACACTGGTCTGATATGTCCATCCATCACCTGTGATCTCCTCCAGTTCAGTAAGACTATTTTGATTAACAAACAACTACCCATGATAGGCTGATATTCAGATCAACATTCTTCCCTGATGTCCTGAATGTAGACCCACATTTATTGTGTCTACCAAACAAACTTTCAAAGTTGCAACACTTCTGATGTAGTAATAGGTGTATGGACACAATAAAGCTAAGTTTCAGGAAGAGGGGTAAATGATGTCACATGTGCTATGATGTCATTGTGCAAATGACATAAATGTCATCATTGACATTAGCCAAGTCATGACACATATAGTGTTCTTGTGGCATTTATCAGATGCTTATGATAGGTTGGCATACTGCCCTAAATATAATCTACTTTGTTTTTCAATTTCAGCTTATTCTTTTGCCTGACTCCGGTCACTGTAATGCACGGGTTATAGCTTACCATGAAGTACAAATCCAGCCAACTGTCATTTAATCAATAAACTGTGGTTAAAATAATCAGGGCTTTACAGAATATGAACACTAAGTCTACATTTAGGAGACACTGCATCAGCCACAGAGCTAAGAGCCAGTGTGGTGTACAGGATTAGGTGTTGAACTGGAACTAAAGAGACTTAAATTCAACATTACTTACAGACACAGTCTATCTCTCAGAGTTGAGTACCCAGAGGACTGAGGAAAAAATGGAGAAAAGTGTGTTTGTGTATGCCTTCTTAAATTCCTAAAGGGAAGGCAAAATACAAATCTAGCAAATATCTGTACCAGGGGTCTTCAAACTTGGCCCTTTTATGACTTGTGGACTTCAACTCCCAGAATTCCTCAGCCAGCCTCCATTTTGTTTGTTAGATTTAAGCCAGGGGTCTTCAAACTTGGCCCTTTTATGACTTGTGGACTAACTCCCAGAATTCTTCAGCCAGGCACACTGGCTAAGGAATTCTGGGAGTTGAAGTCCACAAGTCATAAAAGGGCCAAGTCTGAAGACCCCCCTGATCTATACAAAGCTCCCCAATCAGATGTGGTATGCATACAGAATTGCAGAAGTTTATGAAATGCAATCTCAAATATGCAGGTTCAATGCTGAGGTTTTTAGCTTGTTTCCAGTTTCAGACTGAACTGTCATTCAAATTTCACCCATTTTTCATAAACACACAGAACAACATCACATAATTTCTTTAGATAGATAGATAGATAGATAGATAGATAGATAGATAGATAGATAGATAGATATAGATATACAGATATAGATATAGATATATCCCTTCACTGCTGTCCTGTGTTGCGTTGTTGGTTCATAGATGCGTATAGGCAATTTAATTTAGAGCCAAAAAGATAATTTTATAATTTTTTAATATTTCTCCAGATCTTCCAAACAAGAAGAAAGCACGAGAAAATGGCAAAGATAAATCTCACCCAACAACATTTGTACTTTTAGCCTCTTTGAAAATCATTGAAAAATGTTAAAAATATTTTTTTCACTAACAATATGGTCATTCCTTTATGTATCTTATTCTCCACTCGTATTTCAGATTTAAAATGAAATTGCAAATGAATTTAAAAGCAATGGAATGACGTAATTCGAGCAAATAAAAAGATCTGAAATTGCTAAGATTATGAAGGTAGAAACCTTCATTTCCTATATAAAAATTTAATTTAATTTAACATGATCGTCCTGTGCATTCAACATTCAACAACAAAAACCTGCAAGAACCCCTTAAAAAGACTAAGCCACATCAACATCCAAATACTAAAATAACTTTTATAGGTTTTTTCCCCTAAGATTTAAGTTTTCAACTCACAACCAATTTAGATAGTTCTACAAAGTCAGCAAAATAAAAGTTTTGGGAATACCCCAACACACAGTTAGGTAGTTCATTAATTTTGCTAACTTATTCATTTATGCTTTCAGGCCAGCTAATAATTTAAATTCAGTGAACGCTACACCAGTAAATGAAAAGCCTACAGTACCACATCACAACAAAACAATGATAACAAAATAGAGGGGGGGGGAACTGACTGAACCTCACTTTTCATAACTATTTCAGGCTCGAGAATTCAGGAAAATCACAGTTCATGATACTTTTTAAAAGGAAACTAATTCAGAAGTGCCTTCCCAGCACTCCATAGAACGGAGCTGGCATTTATTCAGAGTTTGCAGCAATTCAATGAATCACATCTAGAACGTGGTAAAATGGTACTTTTTTTTTTCTAGTGATGGACAAGCTCAGCCAAAGAGAATTCAAAACAAGTTTCCCCCAAAAGTTACAATTTAGATTATAGTAAATTCAAATACCTTGATATTTTTAAAAATCAGGATAAACAATCTCCATAGGCTTCAGAAATTAGCCCCATCATCAGTCCTTACAACAAATGGTACAGGCAGTCCTCAATTTACAACCATATGTTTAGTGACTGTTTGAAGTTGCAATGGCACTGAAAGAAGTGACTTAGCATCAGTTTTCATACTACCAGCACAGCATCCTCACAGCTACATGGACAAAATCTGGGCGCCTAGCAGTTGCAGCATCGTGGGGTCAAACAATTGTCATTTGCAATTCCCAGTTTTATTCATTTAACAACCACAAGATTGCAGTTGCAGAAATTTGCTTAACAACCCTGTCAAAATGGTCATAAAATCAGGTGCAACTCATTTAACAATTACCTTGAGTAATAATGGAAATTCTGGTCCCAATTGTGGTTATAAATTGAGGATTACCTGTATTACAGAGACTAAACCAGCTAGAGAGCATCATGTTGACTCTTCTTCCTGTAGATCAGGGGTCCCCAACCCCCGGTCTGTCGACCGGTACCAGGCCGCGGCATGCCAGCAACCGGGCCGCGCAAACAAACGAAGCCCCATCTGCGGGATGCAGGCAGCACACAAAACCACGCCCCCTCCGGTCCACGGAAAAACCTCTCTCCACGGAACCGGTCCCTGGTGTCCAAAAGGTTGGGGACCTCTGTTGTAGATGACATCCTTAAGAATGGAAACCAAAACAGCTCCCTTCCATCCACCCCTTTGTCTCCAAAACTTACCTGTCACCAAAAATGAGAGAGGTGGTTGCCTCAGCGAGAGACTGACAGATAGATTATTTCTGATCCAGGTCACTTTCACAGGCAGTAACCCCCAGTTCTGTTTCATCCCAGTTCTCCATTAATCTGCCGATTTAAAAAAAAAAAAAAGACAAGACCAAATAAGATGGTGTTTTGGGATATAGTGACTCTCAAAATATATGTACCGTATTTTCCAGCGTATAAGACGACTTGGCGTATAAGACGAACCCCGACTTTGGAGACGATTTGCATGCTTTAGAAAGTCGTCTTATATGCCAGAAAATACGGTAACTGAGAGCATACAAATGGGGGATAATTTCGGGGGGGGGGAGGGGAAACACAGTTTGCTAGTAATACACTGAAGCTAGATTGGAAACTTTATCCTAGGACTGTGAATTGGGAAGAAAGCATTTTGCTGTAGCTTTTATTTGAAAGAAGTATTTTAAAAGAAAATATGCATAATTATGTATTTAAATATGCAATTCAAGAAAGGAAGAGGGGAAAAAAACAGATTAGCGGAAAAGTGAAATGGAATTATAGATTAAAAACAACAAAAGTGTTTTAAAGGTAAAAAACCACAAAAACCAAACGAAATAAGGGCAATTAAATATTCTTCCTTCATCCCCATCCTGCTATTCTTTTGGATCTTCGTGTAGAGCCAATTGGTGTAGCAGTTAAGGTGCCAGCCTAGAAACTAGGAAAGTGAGACTTCTAGTCCTGCCTTTGCCATGAAAGCCAACTGGGTGATTTTGGCCCAGTCACTCTCTCTCAGCCCAACATACCTCACAGGGTTGTTGTTGTGGGGAAAATAGGACGAGGAAGGTGCATTGGATATGTTCGCCACCTTGAATTATTTATAAAAAAAATAAAAGAAAGAAAGGAAGGAAGGAAGGAAGGAAGGAAAAAGAAAGAAAGGAAGAAGAAAGAAAGAAAGAAAGAAAGAAAGAAAGAAAGAAAGAAAGGAAGGAAGGAAGGAAGGAAGGGAAAGAAAGAAAGAAAGAAAGAGAAAGAGGGAAAGAAAGAAAGCAGCAAGAAGACAGAAAGAGAGAGAGAGAAAGAAAGAAAACAGAAAGAGAGAGAGAGAAAGAAAGAAGCAAAAAGACAGAAAGAGAGAGAGAGAGAGAGAGAGAGAAAGAAAGAAAGAAAAAAGAAAGAAAGAAAGAAAGAAAGAAAGAAAGAAAGAAAGAAAGAAAGAAAGAAAGAAAGAAAGAAAGATTGCCCATCAAAAATTGGAAGGCCTCCCCAATAGCTCCAAATATAATCTGTCAACAATCCCAATAGTATTGTTTATTATTCTTATTCTTATTCTGTTCTACTCTACTCTATAAAATATTTCTAGCTCAGGTTTAAAGTATGGGGTCCTTGGTGTTCTCTGGGCTTGGTGGTTTTCTTGTGGATAATTCCTTATCATGCTAGGTAACATTCAGAGATCGAACAAGCAAGAAAGCCACCAAGTTCAGAAAACCCCTAGGACCCCACCAACCTTGATTTATCATACCAAATAAAGCATGGAAATCTTTCCCATGGTATGTTTAGTCATGCCTGCTAGAGTCCATGATTAGAGGAACAGCACATTCTGACAGCCACTGAAAAGCCATTTTCTTGTCCAATATCAACCTTATCTAAATTGAATTTCTCTCTCCATCTCATAAATGTACATTACTGAATATGCCATAAGTAGCTCTCTGGATACGGCTAAATCACAAAACGACAAAGCAGGGTGTGGTCTCAGATTTTTTTTTCTATTATAGGCGATAAGGGAACATTTAGAACTACAGTATTTATCTTTTTACTGTTTCACTTTGAGATTGTTACTGTTTTTTCTTTCTACTTAATCATCCCAGAAGCCTTTTCTTTTCACTGTGTGACAGCACAGCTAATAAAATCCCCTAGCTAAGTACCAATTAATAATTTTACAAAAACTTCATTCAGGATTAACAATCATGAAACAGATACAGTTATGTTGCTAATCCTCAATAAATCTATTGCTAATAGACAGTTATCATTCCGAGAATAAAAGTATGAATTAATCTAATTTTAACATCTTAGCGAGATCATTATTACATGTTAAAGAAATACACTCCTCCGCGATTTAATGTATTGTTTTAATTATTCCTTTGATTTTAAACTCACCTTTGTATTACAACCAACGCTAAGGAAAAGAACAAAGCATCTGAGAAACATAATATGTTTAAAAAATGAAGAACTTAGATTTAAATTAACCCCCACAGTAGGGACTACATTTATTTAACAATGAAGAGCCAGCCAGATTGGCTCACAATAATTTAAGTATCCTGGATTTAGTAGTGATCAAATGTGATTATATACAGGTAGTTCTTGACTTACAACCATAACTGAGTCCAAAATTATGGTCGCACGTAATCATGGACATTAAGCAGGTCACCACATGACTTCATCCAATTTGACAACCTTTTCTATGGCAGTTGTTAAGTGAACACAGTGGTTATTAAATGAATGTAAGGTTGTTAAGCAAACACTATGGTACTATTGTACACAGTGGGCCTTTTTTTTTGCCAGAAACGGGAAGTAAAGACTATTTTTGGCAAAAACATCATAATTTACAGTCATGTGACCACAGGACGCTGCAAATGGCTGTAAATGTGATCTCATTTTGAGCACTTGGCAAATGGCCCACATAGCTGCAATTGGGGAGGCAGCTGATGGAACTTTGAAACAGAGTCATAAGTAGCTCATTTAGATTTGATCTGATTCACCCAGAGCAACAAAGATGATCAGGGGACTGGAAGCTAAAAAATATAAGGAACGGTTGCTGGAATTGGGCATGTCTAGTTTAATGAAGAGAAGGACGAGGGGGGACATGATAGCAGTGTTCCAATATCTCGGGGGCTGCCACAAAGAAGAGGGAGTCAAGCTATTCTCCAAATCACCTGAAGGTAGGACAAGAAGCAACAGATGGAAACTAACCAAAGAGAGAACAACCTAGAACTAAGGAGAAATTTCCCGACAGTTAGAACAATTAGTCAGTGGAACAACCTGCCTCCAGAAGCTGTGAATGCTCCAACACTGGAAGTTTTTAAGAAGAGACTAGACAGCCATTTATCTGAAATGGTATAGGGTTTCCTGCCTGAGCAGGGGGTTGGACTAGAAGACCTCCAAGGTCCCTTCCAACTCTAATTATTATTGATTTTGTTGTTGAACTCCCAGTTCTGTATCAACTGGCATTCGACCTTTTCATTATCTCTGAGTTCCCAAGTATGCCAAGTATATGAATTTTGATCACGTAACCTCAGGGATACTGCAACAGTCGTAAGTGTGAAAAACAGCCATAAATCATTTTTTTCAGGGCCACTGTAACTTCGAACAGTCACTAAATGAACTGTTGTATATTGAGGAGTACTTGTATTTATTTGACTCTGCAAAGGGGGAAACAAGCCCTTTGAAGCAATGCTATCAAGGGCTGCCTCCGTATTCCACGAATTTGCAAGGCAACACAAATGTCAGTGATTGAAGGGTGGGAAGTTCTCCAAGTTTGTTCGGGAAGCCATCTGGATCCATCAAGCATCTATTCTGATGATTTCAACACATTCCCAATAGGGGTTTATATCAGCCATCAGTCTCAAACTGTTTAATTCAATTAGAATAGAGCTGGAAGGGACCTTGGAGGTCTTCTAGTCCAGCCCCCTGCTCAAGCAAGTGACCCTATATAATTTTAGACAAGTGGCTGTCCAGTCTCTTCTTAAAAACCTCCAGTGATGGAGCGCCCACAATTTTTGAAGGCAGGCTGTTCCACTGGTTAATCGTCCTCACTGTTAGGAAATTTCTCCTTAGTTCTAGGTTGGTACCACACTGTCCGTTGCAAATCCCAGGGCTAGGGGAAACGGTTTGTACTAGTAGTCCTCAATTTACAACATTTCATTTAGTGACCATTCCAAATTACAACGGCAGTGAAAAAAGTTATTTATGACCAGTGGTGGGATTCAGCCGGTTCGCACCACTTCGGCAGAACCGGTAGCTAATTTTTTGTTGCCCAGGGCCAGAACGGACTTGCGGAAGCGGCATCCACACAGAGAACCGGTTGTTCACATATTTGAATCCCACCACTGCTTATGACCATTTTTCACGTTTACGAGCATTACAGCATCCACCTGGTCACTTGATCAATATTTATGTCCCAGGGTCATGTGATAACTTTCCGAGAAGCAAAGTCAAGGGGGAAGTCAGAATTCCCTTAACCACCGTGTTACTAACTTAACTGCACGATTCGCTTGACAATTGTGGCAGGAAAGGTCATAAAACGGGGCAAAACTTACCTAATAAATGTCTCATTTAGCAACAGAAATTTTGGGCTCTATTGTGGTTGTTAAGTTGGGGACTACCTAATATGCCTCGAAGCTTGCTAGGATGTACAGGTTATCCCCCTCCTAAATCTACCATCATTGTTGCTTGCCCAATAGGAAATCACTGTGAAAGGCTAGGATGGCCTTTTGCTAGAGCAGAGGGTCCCCAACCTCCGGTCCATGGACCAGTATCGGGCTGCAGCATGCCAGCCACCGGTCCGCACAAACAAGGAAAGCCCCATCCACAGGATGCAGGCAGCACACAAAACCACACACCCTCCAGTCCGTGGAAAGACCTCTCTCCACGTAACCGGTCCCTGATGCCCAAAAGGTTGGGGACCTCTGTGCTAGAGGAAAGGAAGAAAAAAGGAAAAGAGTGAAAGAACCAGATGAGGGGTGAATGAAGAAAAGCAGTCATTAGCTTCCTTGTCCGACAATATCTCCTTTCTGCTGTCACCGATCTTTCTCCTAAGCCACACAGTGTGACCAGCTGGTCATGTTTGCTATTTAGCTTATACTGGCCATTAAAAGATTCTTTTTTTCCTCTTGGAATATGACCCAATCCTGACAGGAAGGCCGGGTCAGCTGTGCCACATTTAAGAGCTGTGTTCTCCAAGAGGTCAGATTTTTCATTTACCTCCTTTATTTCTCGGTTGCCCCCAAGCCATCTTTCATTGTCAGGCTGGTGCTTCAGCCGGGCACGCGCCAAGTTCCCACTGTAGCGACACGCTCCATGTAAATAGCATTTGTGTTAAGGAAGTCATGTCCTGTGCGACTGGTGTACAT